TCTCTGACCTGGGGAGAACACAGAACCTAGAGGACACCCTGTGGGGACAGGAAGACAATGTTTCAGCTTGGGACATGTTTAATGTGATGGCGGGCCCATCTGAGTAGAGATGTCCTGTAAACAGGTGGATTTACAGAAGAGAGGTCTAGGCTGCACATGGCTGCTGGGACCTGATGTCTTGGAGTCAAGAGTTATCCCTCACTGAAGAAGACAGGATGCCTAGGAGAAAGCTCCAAAGAAAACCAACTCTTCAGGAATGGATAAAGGAGGAAGAACCTGCAGGACTGGGAAGGAGCAGCCAGAGAGGCAGGAAGAACAGTTAGGAACACCAGTTATCACGGAAGCCAAGGGAACGAAATTTTCCATGGAGGACTGTGGTTAGCTGAGTGTGATGCAGGTATGTCTGTCACTTTTTCCAGGGCCACCTCATTTAATTCTCCCAACATATTGGAGGAGACTATATTTTGATTTCTTTTTCTATTTATTTTTTTTCATTTTGAGAGATGGGTTTTGTTTATTCATTGTTATTTTTTGTCCTGCATAACTTTATTTTTCAAGGTTAAAAAGGGAAGGAGGAAAGTAGAGATCGAAGGAGTGCCACTATGGCAACCCTCTTTGATCACCCAAGACATGAACCTGAGCAGGTGCTCAGCTGTGCTTCCTTCCCACAGCCCCTCAACTATGGCAGCAGCGAGTGCTATGAGCTCAATGTGTTGGTGCAGAATGAGGCTGCACTGCAGGCAGTCAATCCCAGAGCTGAATGGAGCCAGGCCAGGGTCAGCATGCACACGCAAGATCCTAACAGGGCTCATTTGTTCTAGGAAAATCCACTGCAGAGAGCCTGGCAGAGAGAGAACATTCATTCCTGGGACCTCCACACACAGCAGTTACAAAAGCTCAGGTAGGGCTCCCAGGAGGACCTGGGAGTGAGGTAGAAAAGAGCTAACAGCTCTATTTCTTCTGAGGGTAGCCCCTGGCTCTTAGTATTAGAGGGTGATGGGTGTATGTTCCTTAAGGTCCGGGCGGGGGATGGGGGTCTCAGGTCCCACACATGCAGACATGTGTGTGTTGGTGTGGCCTTGTCCCATAGGGAAAGGCTGGGCTGTGCTCCAGGTGGTGCACACTGACATGGCCCTAGTGTGTTCCCTTTTGGCTTCTGAGTGTCTGGACATGTCCTTTCTCACAGCTCAGGATCCTCTGTCCTTTTCCTCCCCCACCAACAACTACTCCAAAGACTATGACCCAAGGACTGGCTGCGAGTGGGTGGCATGTGTGGCACAACTGGCCATACCTGGACCCAGCATGTGCTCATCCTTCCTTGAGGACAGCTGGTACACGGCCATCCTCCAGTTTTTTAAGAGGAAACTGAAAACCACACAGTGGAGGCAAAGTCGTCCCTAAAGATATCCAGCAAGTCAGCTCCAGTAGCAGACAAAACGTGAACCCTGTTTTTTTTCTTTCTTTTTCCTTTCCTCTCTGTGTCCCTGGGCTAGACTGAAGTGGCGTCTTCACAGCTCTTAAAACTCCTGGGCTCAAGACCCTCCTGCCTCAGCTTCCCTCCACCACGCCGGCCAATTTTTCTACTTTTTATAAAGACGGAGTCTCACTCTTGCTCAGGCTGGTCTCAATCTCCTGGCCTCAAGCAGTCCTCCCAAAGTGATAGAATTAGAGGCATGAGCCACCGCACGCTGCCGTGAAACCGGGTTTTGATTGGCAGTGTGTGAAGCAGGTGTATGAGCCTGTCACGTAGAATTTTAGCGTGGTCCCTATTCACTTAAAGTGCACCTGGCAGCTCCAGGCCTCACCGGCATTGTTCCTTATCCTCACAAGCAGAAGAGGTGGGGATTTTACTCCTAGTACACAGAAGAGGAGCCTGGGACTCAGAAGCAAGCATGGCACTTGTCCGACATCACGCAGCCTAGCAGGTGGCAGGGCCGGGGTGGGCTGGGAACTCGGGTGTCTCTCCCCTGTCAGCGACCGCGCAGTCAAGTGGCTGGTGCTCTTTCCTGCGGAGAGAGGCGGCGTCTCGGGCGGGTGCAGCCGCAGGCGCCCCGAGGACCCCGGCCCGCCCTCGCCCCCGCGCATGCCTGGCCGCTGAGGCGTGAGAGCCAGCGCCCGCGGCCCTCCCTCCCGCGCGCCTTGCACAACCGGCCCAGATAAACGCTGCGTCTCTCGGCAATTATCGCCCTCCCGCCGCCGGGGATAGGCGGGCAGAAGGCCAAAGGCCAGGGGACTCGCAGCCACCCAAGGAGAGCGGTACCCGCCGGCCGAGAGGCCACCTGCGCAGCGCGCGATTTCACAAGGGCCGGACGCCGGCAGGGGCAGGGCCACGACGCGGTGACGTCGCACGCTCAGCTCCGCCCCGAGGCCTACCCGCCCCCTTCGCCCAGGGCGGGACTGGAGGAGGGAGTGGTGGGGTACCACCTGCCAGAATGTGTTGTCTGTCTTCTTTTTCCTTCTGGTCTTTTCTTTTTCTATCTTATCTTCTTTTCTTCCCTTCTTCCATCACTTCTCTTTTCTTTTTCACTTCTCATATTTCTCACTCCCCTCTCATACGCTTTCTTTAGTTTTTCTTTCTTTCTTTTTTTTTTTCTTTTTTTGGCAGTTTTTGGCTGGGGCTGGGTTTGAACCTGCCACCTCTGGCATATGGGCCCGGCGCCCTACTCCTTTGAGCCACAGGCGTCGCCCTTTGGTTTTCCTTTTCTTTCCTTCATTCTTTTCCTCTCTTCTCTCCCTTGCTCTGTTTCTCGCTGCTGCTTTTCTCTTCCTCCCTTCCTCTTCCTTCCATTCTCTATCCTTTATTTCTCCTTTCTCTCTCCTTCCCCCTTTCCTTCTCTCCTTCCCTTTTCCATTTCTTTTAAAAATAAATTTGTAAATTTATTATTTTTTTTGAGACAGAGTGTCACTATGTCACCCTTGGTAGAGTGTTATGGCATCACAGCTCACAGCAACCTCTAACTCTTGGGCTTAAGTGATTCTCTTGCCTAAGCCTCCCAAGTAGCTGGGACTACAGGAGTCCACCATAAGGCCCGGCTACTTTTTTGTTACAGTTGTCATTGTTTTTTACCTGGCCTGGGCTGGGTTTGAACCTGCCACCCTTGGTGTACATGGCCGGCACTGTAACCACTGTGCTATGAGCACCAAGCCAAATTTGCAAAATTTTTAAGTGGTGGAAAACACATCACATAAAATTTACCATCTTAATCATTTTTAAGTGTCCAGTTTAGTAGTGTTAACCATAGTCACATTGTTGTGCAAAAGATCTCCAGAACTTTTTCATCTTGCAAAACAAACTCTATACTCATTAAAAACCTTCCTATATCCTAGCAACCACTATCTCACTTTTTGTTTCTTCTTTTCCCTTTTTGTGCCTTTCTTTTTCTTTATTCTCTCCTTTGTTTTCCCCTCTTTCTTTCTCTCTTTCTTGTAAAGAGCCAAATGGCCCCGCTGCACCCTGTGCAGCCCTCTCCAGCCTGGGCTGGGCCAAGAGGCCTGTCAGCAAGGCTGTTAGAGGCTGGTGAATCATCATTCCTCCCTGGTTTGTCAGGGCTGGTGGGCGGCCCCTGGAAGCCTCACCTGGCTTTTCACTGGTAGGCAAACATGTCCAGTGAGAAAATTCTGCCAGGAAGAGTTAATTAGAGAGAGGCCCTGACTCCAGCAGAGTCAGAGGGTCAGGCTGGGAGCCCCTCTCTCCTCTGGGCCTTCAACAGCCCTGGGGCTGCCCTTCTAGACAGTACAAGACAGCCATGATGATGCTGATGGGGTTGATAACTTGCAGTTTACAAAGCATTTCCATAGACATTATCTCATTCCAGTTCTCACGACAATCTTGGGAGGCAGGCTTTATTATTCCCATTTTACAGGTGAGGAAACTGAGCGTAAGAAAGGAGAAGGGATTTGTTTATGGCCGCAAAGCTGCTAAGCTACAGAGCTTGTAAGATGGAGACACAAATTTGGATCACAAAGCAGTGACTGGGTTAGAGTTTAAAACATTTAAAAAAATTTTTTGCTTTTTCTTCAAAGTGTTCTCATGCATTTTTTTAGACTCTTTTGAGTTGTAGGGCCCACCAGACAGGTTTCTCCCAACAGCTGGGCCCAGGGTAGGATGGAGAATGAGTGAGTGATGGAGGTATCCGGACAGCAAGTGTGAAAGAGATGATTTCTAGGGTGCTAAGAGACTTTGTAATCAAATAGAATTGCTACCCAAATGTCCCTGGGTTATCTGGAAGTTTGGCCCTCCATACAGGGAATGTATTGAGAGCACAAGGGACTTCTAAGAGTGGCTGGAGTTGCAAGGCTCCCACCTTGTCTGAGTAGAACCTCTAGTTCATGGGAGAGTTCACATTCTGAGTATGTTCTGTTTCAATATGTTGATGTGGAAATAGTTTTTAGTATCATGGGGAATGATGGTGGATGATTAATGATCACCAATATCCAGTTCTTCTCTACTTCAGGGTTTGTGGAGGTATATGTTCCTCTGTCTTCTTAAAGTAAAGCATGATCCTGTGATTAGAAGTGGCATTTGTCCTTCATGAGCTAGAACATTGAATTGATGGTGCTGGAGGTTTTAGTTCTCTCTTCTTCAGCCACATTGACTACAGAGGCCACATATTCCAGGGTGTTCGAGCTTTACTAGATTGGGTCTCAGGGAAACTACTAAGAACAGAAACCCTTGCTGGTTGTTATGATGGTAACAAGCCACGTGGATTTGGCTTATTTGTTACTGTAGCTTAGTCTAGCCTTTCTGACCAACATAGTAATGAACACAATTCATTAAGTGCTTAGTCAGTTTTTGAAATGTACTTCAACTTTTGGAACAAGATTTAAAATTTTTAAAGATAAAAAAATTATAGCTACACAATCTAATGGAAAATATTTGTTTGATTTACATTGTTTTCCCTAACCATCTCTTATTACATATACTTTTAAAATGTTTTTCAGAGCTTCACTGAGATATAATTAACATACAATAAGCTCATATTTATTTATTTATTTTTTCATGTCAGACGGGCAATGTGCCGATTTCATAACAAGATTTGTGAGAGGCACATCTCACACATGTGCATGAAAACCCAATCACCACACTTATGAACTACAGAAGGAGCAATAAACTCATATTTAAAGTATGCAATTTGATAAGTTTTGGTGTGTGTTGTACACACATGTGAAGCCTTTACTGCCATCATGATAATGAACATATATCCATAATGTGCAAGAGTTTCTATGTGTGCCTTAGAAAGCTTTTTCTCTTTTCCCCTCCCACCTGCTTCACTTAGTCACCCGGTAACACTGATCTGCTTTTGTCACCATGGCCTAGTTTGCCCTTTCTAAAATTTTATATAAATGGAGACATATAGTATGTACTCATTTTTTGTCTGCCTTGTTCTTAGTATAATTCTTTTGAGAGTCATCGGCTTGTTGCTTGTTCAGTAGCTCATTCTTGTTATATTGCTGAGTAGTATTTCAATTATGGACATACCAAATTGGTCTGTACGTTCCTCTGACTTTGGATGTTTCCCATTTTTGTCTATTTTAATAAAGTTGTGATGAATATTTGTGTACAAGATTTTGTGTGGACATGTGGGTTCATTTCTCTTGGGAGAAAGGGTGAGGAGTGGCTGGATCCTATGGTAGATGGTGTCTGTTTAACTTTTAAAGAAACCACCAATTGTTTTCTAACATGATTGTAACATACAAACCCATCAGTGATTATGTTAGAGTTCTGGTTCCTCAACATCTTTGCCAACACGTGGTATGGTCAGGTTTTTAGTCTTTAAATAGATGTGCAGTGTATCTCATTATGGTTTAAGTAAATATTATAAAATAGACAAACGTCAAATCCATCATTTTAAAGTATACAATTCAGCAATATTTGGTACATTCACAATACTGTGCAACTATCACCACTATAGCATCAGAATATTTTTGTCACCCCCAAAGGAAACCTCGTACCCATTAAGAAGTCACTCCCTGTTTCCCCCTCGCCCAGCCCTGGCAACCATTAATCTGCTTTCTGTCTCATGGCTTTGCTTATTCTGAATATTTCATAATGGAATATGGAATAAAATTAATCATAAAATATGTAGGCTGCCTTCTTTCACTTAGCATGATATTTTCAAGGTTTGTCTACATTGTGGGACACATCACTGCATCATTTCTTTTGTGTCTGAATAATACTCTGTTGTGTGTGTATACCACATTTTTGTTTGTCCATCCATCACTTGATGGACATTTGGGTTATTTCTACCCCAGAGCTATTATTTGAGCTATTGGATTATGATATGCTTTGGTGTCACTTTCTACATATTTCTTCTGCTTGGGATTCATTGGGCTTCTTGGATCTTTGCATTTATGTTTTTCAATGTAATTGGGAAATTGTTATCGTTAGTTTTCAAACAGACTTACTGAGATACAATTTACCTACCATACAATGCATCCATTTAAAATGTAGAATTAAATGTATGTTATTATATGCGTGGATGGCATGCATCCATTACCACAATCAATTTTAGAATGTTTTATTTTTAGCCACTACTACCCAATTCTCCTCACTACTCTCCACTCTCACCCCAAGCAGCCACTAATGTACTTTCTGTCTATACAGATTTGCTGATTCTAAATGCTTCATATAAAGAAATCATATACTATATGGGAATTGGCTAGTATCTCTTTAGATATTTTTTTCTGTCCTTTCCTCCTTCTCCTCTCCCTTGGGTTTTCCATTTGTTTTAAAGTTATTTTTGAAGACTGTATTAATTTGTTTCCATGTATTTTTTAATATATTTTTTACTGCATTTTGAAACATTATTCTAAGAAGATGTCCACAGGCATCACTAGATTTCTAGGGGGTCCTTGGTCCCTATTCTAGATGCTGTTATAGATGAGTGTTTTACAAACTAATATTTCAAGGAAAGCTGTTCCTTAGGGTATTGGTAGATGCTGCAGTGGAGGTGTTCTTTGCTCAAATCAGCTTGGGAGACACTGAGTGAAACAACATTTGCCATTTTTTTTTCTGTTGAATTTCTCTGAGTTTTTTAGTCCCTAAAATGCTTCTTTGTGTATATCTAAAGGAGATTTGATGTACAATAGTTTCCAAATGCAAGGTAGCACACAGTACACTCTTTTTTCAATTTATTATTTTAAAACCCTATAATAATATCTAGATCACTGAATTCTGCAAATGAAATGCTCCAGGTCACCTAAAAAGACTCATAGAACATTAACATTATTATAAATGTTTCCCAAACTAGGAATAACAGGATAATGGGCCCATTTAAAGGACAAAAACTCATGGACTCTTCATTATTGAATTAAATGTGTTTTACCTTACTATTTTTGAAGTATATACAGATATAACACTAGATCTAACTTCCTTGTAACCAATAAAACCAAAAACAAATTTATAAATTAAATATTATACCACACAAAAAAATCAAAATCCAGACCGATATATTTATTTATTTATTTTTGCAGTTTTTGGCCGGGGCCAGGTTTGAACCCACCACCTCCGGTATATGGGGCTGGTATCCTACTCGTTTGAGCCACAGGCACTGCCCTAAACTGATATATTTAATGTGATGGATTTGTTTCTCTTGAAAACACTAAATGGCTATTTGCAATGTTATAGTTCTGTGGGACTGAGCTGCTAAGAGTCGGTTTCTTTTGAATTTGTCATGACTGTAATCCTGGATGCATGGGTGACTCAGTTTCCCACAGCCCTCTCTGAGAAAGCTTGCTTCTTACAGGGCTGTGATACTGTTTTCATCTTTAGTTAATATGACCATATCGCACCTTCAGATTAGTTCTGCCCTCCTTTTCCCGTTAACTATTACAAATAAAATACTATTGCTTGATTCCAGTTCCATCACAAGCAGTGCAAACAGGAACAGTGTAATTGTTAGTTTGATGCGTTAACTTGACTGAGTCATGGGGTGCCCAAATATTTAGTCAAATATTATTCTGCATATTTCTGCGAGGGTGGTTTTGGATAAGATTAATGTTCACATCAGTAGACTAAGTAAATCAGATTGCCTTCCCAGTGTGAGTGGGTCTCATCCAATCAGTTGACACTTGACTAGAGTAAGAAAGCTGACCAAGGCTGGACACAGTGGTGCGTGCTTGTAGTCCCAGCTACTAGGGAGGCTGAGGCAGGAGGATTGCTGGAGCCCAATCTGGGCAACATAGTGAGATCCTGTCTGGAAAAAGAAAAAAAAAAAAAAAGCCTAACTCTTACCTGAGTTAGAGAATTTTTCTGCTTGACTGCCTTCAAACTGGGACACTTTTTCTCTGGGTCTTTTTTTTTTTTTAATGTTCCAAAACATAAAAACATGGGTTTGTTTTATTTTACTCTGATGCAAAACCAAAGATTCCACTACAGCACAGAGACTCATATATTCAAAGGTCATGAAAAAGTGGCAGGGGACATGCAGAACGTGATGTACAAACTGGAGGGTTGGGTCATTTTCTTTAATGTGACACTACACTGTCACTGAAGAACACATTTAAATTAACACTGCAGAACTGAAATGAAATGTGGCACAAACAGGACAACTGCCAGGCAGGCCTTCCAGCACCTCCCTTGGGATGGACCTGCCATCTCTAGACTTGAGTTTGGGGAGGATTTACAATTCTTTGGAAAAATAAAAAGTTCATTCACACTCCTGAAATTTCACAGAAGAATTTTAAGGCCAAAACATAGTGGGTTCATTTATCTTCACTTCCAAGGGCAAATCTGATGTTCTTTCTACTCAAACCACTTAAGCTTCCAGTTCAAATCCCAGCCCAACCTTGTGACCTCCTGCATTGAAGTTCTTTCTGATAAGGTCAGTTTGACTCCTGGTCAAAGGGTCTGAGTATAACCCAGTCCAATCAAGCTGGCATTATTTACTTTAGCAGACAGAGAAGTTCTACAGTCCAGCCTGTATTTAGCAGCTATGTCAAAACGGGTATTATTACTGCCAGCTGTCCAAGCAAGGTTTATTGATGTTTCAATCTTCTCATTAACCTTCTGGTAGATAGAACCTCCAAATTCAGTGCTATTGTTCACATGACTGTGCAGCTGGAAGTCTGCAGCCTTGTAACCCAGGACAAAATTATTCTGTGATAGTTTGGATTTGGCTGTGTCTAAACTCATCTGATAGCCAGCAAGCCAACCTTCAAAGGCCAACACAGCCCAGCCATAGATGGTTGGTCCAGAAAAATCTATATCAACATTACTGCCAAGACTGAAACAATCCCGTTTATAGGAAGCCTTTAATTTCCCACTCTTCTTTCCTGTGTTTGGTCCACAAATGGTATCAAGAGTCAATTTCAACCTTTCAGCCAACTTATTCTCCAAAGAGATTTCTGTCCTGAGAGTATTGTCTGTGTTCCATTTTTGGGTGAAGGTAAGTCCATAGTTACAGACCTTATATTTGGTCTCTAGGTAGCCTGACGCTTTCCCTGTATTAGTGTAAGCATGACCAGAAGTAGACAATTCCACTCCACTACAAGACTTGGTTTTCAGATTAATTTTGACTATGCCAAACCCATTTCCTTTATTGAAGACATCCTTGGCAGCCTTTCCTAAGTCATAGTAAGTTGGTGTGTTACACATATCTCCAACCAGAGGGCCTGTCTCAGCTCCATCAGGACAATGCTGAAGGTCTTCTCTGAACCAACCTTTTCTCTGGGTCTTGAGCCTGCAGGTCTTACAATCACACCATCAGCTCTTTTGGTATTCAGCCCTTTGGACTTGGACTGGAGCTGCACCATTGGCTCTCCTGGGTCTCCAGCTTGCTGATTCCCTCTGTAGATTCTGGGACTTGGCCTCCAAATTGTGAGAGCCAATTTCTTATAACAAATCTCTTTTTTATACTATTTATAATAAATATAAATATACACATATTTATATTTAGCACTGCCATCATGTAGCAATAGTTATCAAATCTAATCTTTTAGTATAAGTATATCAAATACAATATCTAGGATATATTTATACTATGAGAGTATTTGCTATTTTCTTGAAGTCCAAATTTAACTGGAAATCCTATATTTTATCTGGTAGCCCTACATCTAGAAGATATAGAATAGGATTTTGTTATTTGTTAAGATTATTATCAAGAC